CAAATATTATTTATAATAATATTACGACCAAATATTATTTATTTTCGCATCATTTAACAAATATTATTTATAATAATATTACGACCAAATATTTATTTTCACATTATTTATCAAATATTATTTATAATAATATTATTTAACATTATTTAACAAATATTATTTATAATAATATTACGACCAAATATTATTTATAATAATATTACGACCAAATATTATTTATAATAATATTACGACCAAATATTATTTATTTTCGCATTATTTAACAAATATTATTTATAATAATATTACGACCACATATTATTTATTTTCGCATTATTTAACAAATATTATTTATAATAATATTACGACCAAATATTTATTTTCACATTATTTAACAAATATTATTTATAATAATATTACGATCAAATATTATTTATTTTAACATTATTTAACAAATATTATTTATAATAATATTACGACCAAATATTATTTATTTTCGCATTATTTAACAAATATTATTTATAATAATATTACGACCAAATATTTATTTTCACATTATTTAACAAATATTATTTATAATAATATTACGACCAAATATTATTTATTTTAACATTATTTAACAAATATTATTTATAATAATATCACGACTAAATATTATTTATTTTAACATTATTTGACAAATATTATTTTAATATTAATTCGATCGTGCGGAAGATCGCTCCTGGCGATGAAATTCAGTTATCAGAATACGAATTCCCATTATACGAACTAAATGAAGTCCCGCCCACGCGATCTTCCACTGTCGCTTAAAATCCCATTTTAACGAGGGTAAAGAAGAACGACGACGACGACGACGATGGATTGTTTGAATTACCAGATTGCGTAATATCGTGACGAGCTACGTAGTGGTTGATCAAGTGGAACAGGTTTCGTAGACCGTCCGCTCGAGCATCTGTCGATCGATATTCAGAATCGAATAGCGAAGATTGTTCGTAAGAACAATAGCGAAAGAAAAAATGATCTCTCACAATTTTTAACAGGAAGAGAAAAAGAAACGAATGCAATTTTGCATGAAACGTAGCACGTATACGTGTTACACACGTATGTAAGTAGAGAAGGTTGTTTCGTTAGCGAAACGATTTTATTTACGTACTACGGACATTCACTTCAATCGGAAGGATTGTGTCGAGTTATTGCACAGTGAAGGAAATTTTGTTGCCATTCGCCTGATTCCGGGTGCATCGTCCAGCAACGAACACAACCGATGATAATTATTCCGATAAGTCTCTAACTGAGCAGAATTGTGGGAATCTCGGTCATTGAAAGACGAGAAAATTACGAAAAAAAAGCATCAAGTCTAAATGTCTTGTGGAACTATATTTTTTAAATATAGAACTTTATAGTGCAGCAGTGTCTTTTTAAGCATTCACAGTCGGGACCGAAAGCGGAGTGACGCTTAAGTGATCATCAACTGTTATACCGGCGAATTTCAGTATTGCTTACTACGTTATTTAATAGTAGCAAAGAAATTTAACATTTCAACATTTTATTTAAACCGAATGCATTTGAACGATTTTAAATTTAATGCGCACATACACTCACACGAAATAAAGCAATAAATTATAACAAAGAGAGAATTATCAATTGATTGTAATTAATCTAATCATTCTCGAAAATTCATTGAAATTCCTGTAAAAGTAGTTTTATTTGTTTAGTTTATTTTTTATCGGTCAGTCATTGCATTATGGAATAAGATAGTGGAATAAGATATTCTTTAAAAATATCTGCCCGAATGACTCGCGTTTTATTTTTAAAATGTAATTGCATACTGTACGCTCTACTTTTTTTTTTTTTTTGGAACTATTAGTCCGTCACCACAAAACGGAATAACAAATATTCTCGTTGAAAATAGATTTCTACTTCGAATTCTCCGCTGATACATGAGTTTGCATAAAATATAACTGTATATCTAATACGTCTGCATACTTTTTCGTGACCAGCTTATGCGTTACACGTCACTGCTCATGATTATTCTTACTAACACCGTGGTTGATGGACGTTGCTCGAATAATTGAAATTTAAAACGTGTACAAGTCCTAGCCAATAACACAACCGAAACGATATTCGTGGTTCTAATAAACAATTGCACATTTCAATAATAGCAAGGGAATAATATTAAAAGTGTATTGTCCGAATAGTTACGAGTGATGATATAATAATACATATATAAATAATTCGAAATGAATACAGTGATTGGAAGAGTGAATAGATTGGCTTGTGTATACTTCTTAATAAGTCATGTAAAAATGTTCGATAAATAATAATAATAATATATATATATATAGTAATAATAATAATTATTATATAATATATAATAATACAATAATTATATAATATACGTATATGCTATTATACTACTATTAATTATTATTATTATTATATTACCGTGTGTATAATAATAATAACTCATTATACGATAAAATACATTCAGACAAACAAGAAAAATATAAATAAATGAAACGTTTCATCTTTGTTGTTAAATATACCGTGAAACAATATTTAAAGGTAAAAGACAATATTTTGTCAATAATTAAAGGTAAAAGGCAACTCATTGCACGAAAGTTGTATAGTTAACTATCGCAAAACTTACGTGCGATATTCAAGAAACAAATTATCCAATCCGTATTCAGCCTCTTCAGGGACAGGGGAATTCAGCACACCGATTCGCTCATCGTTCGAATCGTCTAAATCTAGATCCAGACAGACATTTCTTTTCACTTTCGCGCCAGTTGCTTCGTTTTGCTTCACTAACCGAAGCTGTTTTCTTTCCTAGAATCGACGCGTGCTTTTCGTGCTCTCACTCGTTTGAAAAAAGAAACTTTTTTTCCACCTTTCTTCCTCCTCTTATTCTTTTTTCTTTTTTAATCCCCTGCAATTCAAACCCCTCGCGAAAACAGAAAGAGCACAAGTTGTGGATACTCGAAATCGAAGTAATTTCAAAGAACGAAAGAGAAAAAGAGAGAGAGAGAGACAGAGAGACGAATGATTGAAAGTGGAGGGAAAAAGGATCGTCCGGGCAGGTGCACGCGCGTATAACCCGATAAACTGTAATTCCGAATTAGAGCGACGAACGAGCAGTCGAATTAATCCAATTTCCCAGAGTCTGTAACGAGATTTGCGCATCCTAGAGGGACGCGCGATAATATAAACTCGATCGCGCCGAGGAAACCGGTCTGGGAGGGGGGAGAGATTAAAACTTGCGCGTTCTGCTTCGTCGTGGTGTCTCGCCGAGGAATCTCCTCCGACTAAGAAAAATCATTTCGGATCTTATGCACGAGGTCTTGCGAAAGTTTGTTCCCGCAGCCCGACGACGACGTTGAAATAATCGGGTTTCCCATCGAAACCGACGAAGGGGAGAACGAAATGCTCAGTCAGACGGAAATTGCCGCTCATTTTTCTCCTATGATACGGTCAATCCTGGTGTAACGCATGATTTCATTACAGGTTTTTGCACTGTCAATTAGGCTTTGCATGTTTTATCCTTTTTTTCTAGATCATTCACCCTGAATGCGTTAGAAATCAACTCTTCTACAGATTATATATTCACCTTCCGTGCAAATTCTCACCCTCTTCAACAGGTCAAATTCATCCTTTTGCAAATTACGTTTTTCTACAAATTTGTTTTACCAAGCCATTGTAACGAAAAATAAAATAAAATCCAACGTAAAGTTATTACTCCGAAATAAAACTTTTGTCGCACGTGTGTATGTAATAAAAAACAAAAAAAGTAAACGGCATATAAAATTGGCATATTTTATGAAAAAAAAAAAAGAATCATCGAAATTTCTAAGAATGCATCGTTGTAAATCTAAAAAATTTCTACGAATAACGGGAATTTGTCAATTTGATGGCATTGTGTGTTGTGTGTTTCTAACACTGGTCACCTCGACAGTTCTAATGTTAATCTTTATCAACTAGTTTGGTAGTCCAATTAGTTTAAGTCTATTTAGGTCTACTTAATAATTAGTTTAAGTCTACTTCCTTTATACACATAATCTAACTTAGACTTTTACACACGAATTATACGCAGTTGTGCTGCTCTTTCCCACTTTGAAAAGAACTTCACCTGCTACTCGATCGCGACGATACTCTACGTATCTAATCTGATCGATGCTACCGACCAGACTTTGAACCAGCTATGTACATACTATACACGCGCTATCGTACATCGTAATCGACGAATCTCCGAAAGTCTCCATGCCACGCTCTTTTTTTACAGTTGCCCGCGAAACGTTGCTTTACGGACAACAAAAATCCGGAGGAGTGGCCGGTCGAAAGTCCCGCAACGTTAACGGGAGCTCTCATCCTCGCGATGACCACGCAATTAAAAACAAATTTAACTCGAGTCGCAAGTAGGAGAACAGTTCGGTAATAATTGGTTGCCGCAACAACGAATCGTCTGGCCGTTACTAACGAGACGTCACGCGTGTTAATTGTCTCTACCGTGCGACGGCTCTCCGTGCTTTTGCACGTTTTGCCAATCGTCGCGTGAATATTTTTTTTTTATCCGTCCACCGATCGCGAAACTCCTCTGCAATGAAATATGTACCAACTAATCTCGATGACGTTTCTTTTCGAAAGCTATATAGCAATGATGACATTATTTTATACCGGATGAGTCACCTGACAAACGAGAGGCTGAAATATACTCGAAACGCAATTCTATTAAAAGAAACGTTTGTAATAATTGACTCGACACTCGTACTGAAAAAAAAGGGACAATAAGTCAACAGCAGTATGTATCTCCCGAACAAATAGTTCAATTATCGCGAAATTCTGTGAGACTGATAATTTTGATAATTAATATGCTAACATATAATATATTGCTATATTATTATACATACCAATATATAATAATAGACTTGACAATTAATTCAAAACCGCTATTACGAAAATTAATTTACTTTACTTTATCGAAATTATCTTTCCAATAGAGACGCCTCGTCGTTGCAAAACTTTTAACAGAGACAAAAAGACAACAAGAATGCCGGCGCAAAAGTAAGCAGAAGCGAGATCCTCTCGGAAAGGCAAAGGTGACTTTTAGCAATATTGAAAGAAGCTATTATTGGTATGTCACGCATTGGCTATCGGCTACAAATGATATTAATAGCATTAATCTATTATGTTCATCCATTAATGTCATGTCGCTTTCTATTATAGGCAATCTGCGCGAAAGAGCCAGGTTCACACCGCACACGCGTCTAAATGCCTTTGCAGCAGTACCCACTTAAGCGTCCGTCACTATCCCCACCGATTTTTTCGAATCGAGAGTAAATGTAAAGCTCTATGCCGAAAGCTGCGTGAAAAATGAGTGATAACTGATACCGATATTTCGGCACAATTCGCAAAATACACTTTCCCCGCTTAAGCGTCCGCCGTGGGGAGATCCCGACGGTGGACGCTTAAGCGAGAACTACTGTATCACAAGCGTGCCGCAATTTATCGCGCCGCTCTGCTCGTGACTCGATAATAACTTGTAATGTATATGTTCCTGAAAGCGAAAGCTTCGAATGCAAAACTGGCAGTCACGCTTGCGTTCGTGCAAAACCGACGGGAAAGCGGGGACGACTTTCCTTGCTGTTTATTAAAACGCTACGCTACGAATTATTCTCGATGACTTTTAATTTTTGCACATATATATATATTTTTTTTTCCTTTGACATTTGATGATCAATACGTTCGTGACTGAATGGCGGACGAAAGAAGAGCTATGACTGTACAGAGTACAGGGATTGACAAAATGGCGGCTCTGTGGAGGTACTGCAATTTTTGAAATATACATACGCACTGTAAATACAGTGGATTTTTATTTATTTTTCATACAAGATAAGAGAATTGTTAACAATAAAATTAAATATCAACGAGCAAATGTAAATATATTTGTATATCGTGAAAAATCGGGGATGCTCGCAGTTCTACAGTGCCTATGCACATAACCTAAAAAAAAAAAGCTGCTATTGGTAAGAAGTTCCCGTACAAATTTGAAACTGTTGCTGAAACCACGATCGCCGATTGTTTCAGACTTTGAACAAGATGCTCATTGAACTCAAGCACGTTAAAGTCGAAAGCATTGCGTTTTAAGTTTTAGATTAGATTTGTCAGCAATTACGTTCGAGGCAATCTTGTTCGATCTATTTTCGCGACGTTCGTAAATGACCGGACGCGCGCCAAAACCGTACACGCGTCAGTTAGGGCCATCTGCGATTTTTATCACCAATTAACGCGAATTTTTAAACTCTCGAATTTACTCCCTGCTAGCAATTGAACCATTCGGAAAAGTTATTCCATTTAATCACGAAGATACAAAAATACATTCCGAATTGCGAACATTTTGAAATATTAATTACAGAATTGAAACAATCGTCTTGAGCGTGCAAACGGATTGCAAAAATTAATCTGGATAACTGAAATTGAGGAGTTAATTATTATGTACTATAACAGTTATAGAATTTAATTTATTATATGTTAATTTAAGTTGGCGAACGAAATGATTTGCAGTCGTTCTGATAGATAAATAATGGAAGTTTCTCTCTCAACTCTTCTGAAAGTTTCAAACTTGTAAAAGTTGGTATCGAATCACCGCGGACAAAAACGTCTGGCTGGAAGTCTGAATTAATTATCAGTTTCCTGTTTCCGTTCGCTAAACCGTCTAATTTCCACGGCGGTCTTGTTTTCGCGGAGTCGCTAGAAATCGCGTTGGCTTTTGACGAACCGTAAATAGTGTTCAATAGGATTATTACCGGTGTGCGTTTCTATGGTGCACCATATAGTAACCCCAAGTATGTATCTTTCAATTAGCGAGCGTGAATTTGTACGGGGAAACGGGGACAGGAAAGAGGCTCTTGATTAGGTAGCCGAGATCGAATCAAATGAAAAAAAATTGAAGAAAAACCAACTGAAATTCAGAATGTCTCTTCCGATGTGGGGCCACGGAGAACGTGGAACACAAGAGTAAAATAAAAGATGAATAATCAGATTTGTTCAAATTTTATTTACTGAAACGAAATCTCAGTAGTTTTCATTTGATTTACTGTACAGATTTTGCGTTGCAAATCAACCCTTTTGCAGATTGTATTCACCTTTTTTGCATATCGATTTGAAGCGCGAAATCTATAAAATTTGTTACTATGCTGCGATTTGTAATTTACGACTTGAAAATTTTCCCAATGATGTTAGCTCAATTGCAGGAAAATAAAACCTGACGAATTAAGGTTAGAAATATGCTACGAAACGCGAGTAGAAAAATCGAAGGTGGAATTTATTCAGTTGAAAATCGAAGGATAACGCCAGATTGCGAAAACGAGAACGTAAACAAACGGCGGAGACACGTGACAGAGTAACATGATTCTGCGATAGGTGAAGAGGTAAATTACAGTGATTAAGTAAGTAAGTACCGCCTCTCTCCTATTGCAGTCGATGTTTCCAGTCGATAAGAAAGGAAAGCAAAGGAACAAGATTTCGCGATGCGCTGCTGCTGCGCGCTATTGTTTATTATCCACGTTGGAAAGATAAACGAAAGATGAGTCTTGTTCTCCTTTCACTTGCACTCGCGTCCTGGATAAAGAAGTATCAATCGTAACTGGTATAATGCGTTAGACCAGAGCATCTCAATGGGATCGCGTGACTAAATTTGGAGGTGGTAGAAATTTTAGCAAAGTTGATAAAATCCCTGGACGCGCAATGACCGAAAATTAATTCAAAGCCAAAGTTCCAAGGCACCAATGAATTGTTTTTCGAATAAATTTTCTTTATAATTTATTATCACCAAATTCATATTCCTAGTTTGTACGCCTATTTTTTTTATTTTTTTTTTTTTTTTTTTAAATAAAACATCAAAATATAAGAAGAAACTAATTTTATTAATTTTAAATTAAATTACGAATTTATTTTAGTAGGAAAGAATTTTTGGCTCACCATATATATATATATATGTATAGTAAAAAAATTAATACATGAGCAAATAAATGATCAAATGTCAATTGTACGTCACGTGACGCCAACAAGCCTCATTAAAAATAGTCACAATTGACATTTAAGCATATTCAAATATTCCTATGAATTTTTCACATCAGACATACACTTGTAGATTAAATCCTGTAAATCTTGTAATTTCGAATTTGCTCGAAAACTTCTCCAAACGCGGCCACGACAGTGTCTTGCACAACGCGCGCGCTATCAGACACTCAAAGGTGAAAAAAAGTGCCCGGCGATCGTTCAGATACTCTCTTTTTCGTGCAAGCTTGCTCACGATGATCATTGCGCTGAACAAGTTAACAGAAACTTACAGAAACTCGCAGCGGGACGACGCTAGACGATACGGACGTTCGCTAGATCCAGACGAAACTTTCCTCTTCGAATCTAACGGTATTGCCTGCGAGAACGAAATCGCGGGAAGGTAACGCTGCCTCTTTAACACGCATAAGACGACGAGCGGTCGAGCACAAACACGCTGAGAAAAGTGAACGTCGGAGGAAACGAACGCGTGCAACACACCGACCAAGAGTGGGGAGGGTGGAGAGGCTAGAACGTGAAACATAGGAAGAGAAAACGAGGGAGAAAGAGAATAGTCACGATCGCGTTTGCACCGCGACGAGCAACAGAGTTCCAGTGAATCAGGCGAACATCCTGCGTGATGGAAATTCACGTACCCGGACGGAAGTCCGAGGGAGACCACGAACGAGATACGGCGTCCAAGTAGTGTTGCGCCGATTGCACGTGAACGCGCGAGCATTCGGCGCATCTGCGCAATTTGTTCGACATGGCGAGCGTTCGCGCGTCAACCATCGCTCGTGCAGATAAGCGAACATAACCGATAAAGCGAACGGCGATTTAATCGAATCGGCTATCGATGTACGTAGAGGAGTTCGCGAAACAATTCTAGCTGTACGAGGATTCGCTAGACTTTTCGATCGTGAGCGTTGCGACAGAAGTTTAACGATAAAATGTTAGGTTAGGAATATGTTTCTAATATAGGTAGTATGTTATATCCGGTGTTTCTGAGATCGTGATATACAACCGGCCAGGAGGTAATATATAAATATTATATAATAATATAAAATAAAAAAATAAGCCCAAAAACGAGAGTAAATTTCTTTTACTCAAGTAGCTTCGTTCTCGAGTTTGAAAATTTACGGATTCTAGACTATTATATGTACTTGAATTTAACTAATTCTAGATGTGACAGAAAAAAATAATTGACGGGGGAGTAGTCTATATTCGACATTTGTTGATTCAATCTGTTATTAAAAATATTACGGATTTATTTCAGTAGGAAGTGATTTTTGACTCACCCTGTAAAATCACACACTGGTTGATACCGCAATAATAATATTGATTAAGAATATATTATACATTATATAATACATAAATAGAAACATATTTCTCAATTATTGTAGGAAATTCTTTTTCTGATTTTTGCCTGGCAGCCGTTACAGGCAGCGAAAATATTTATTAAAATATTATTCGCAGCGATAAATATTTTTGATTAATTTTGACCATCGTCAATATTTTCTGACATTACTGACAATTAATATCTGATAATGCAATCTGATCTAATAATGCAACTAAAGATTAATAAGATAATGAAATAAAAAAATGTTTCACCATCGAATGATAACGATTCAATGATACGATACAATTAACGTACTAGAACGGACAAGAAGTAAGAAGTAATTCTTTTTATTACGATCTTCAGTGTTGGATAGCAGACAAAGATTTGCATCTGATTTTACTCATTAGCTTATTATTAGCCAGCTACGTTAAAAGAAAATAGAAAAAAAAAAGGAGAGAAAGTTCACCGTACTCTGTCGAGCAAAATTTTCGTGCTTTCACTCGACAAAAGTTGCACGAACACGTTCCAAATGAATTTTTCCAAACAACAAATACGAGTTCCAACTTTTTCAATTAAAAAAATTTCCTATTTGAATTTTTTTCATTTGAGCCACGATTGGTTCCGATTCGAAGCTTCGAACTTCAAAGTTGGATCAACGATCACGAGCGGATCACTGGAGATTCCGAGACTCTGTGTTTATCTTCCGGGTGAACTTTCGTGGCGAAGAATGCAAAGGGAGGAATAAAGTGCACCGGCCTCTCGTTCCGGCCTCTCTGGAATGCGCACTATTCCTGGAGATTCTTCAGGAATTCGGTGCACCGACTTACGAAAGAATTCCCATGCAATATACGTTAATGTGCGTTTTAAATATTTCTAAAAATAGCTTTACGACACGAGAGAAAAATCCTCCGTACCCGTCGAACGAGTAATGTAACGCATTCACGAGTATTCTCAATCAAACTGATCGATACTATTGTTTGTCACATAATTTTCTAATTCCACTGTAGAAAATTCAATTCAGGTAGAAGCAAATGTATGATACTTCTACACGTTCATTTTTATTGTAAGAAGATATCACGCTGGTAAATTCTAAGATAAATTTAAAAAACAACGTTCTGTATGTTTCAATTTGTGAAATCAGATATATGACTTTGTTACTCTCTCGAATAAAAAATATAAACGTTAATCCAAAATAAAAAGTTAAATCAACGTTACTGTCATTTAGACAACACTGTGTACTTATTGTATTATCAAAAGGCGAATTTATCAAACCGACTTGTGTAATAACGCCCACGCAAAAATGGAATTATTGCGTTTTTCCCCATGTAATATCTCTCTCGATAAATATTTGCGTACAATTTCCGTGACCTAAATAGACAATAATTCGTACCAAGTGATAAAATCGAATAAAAAAAACATTAAACGATCCTGCCAGGATTCGAACCTGGAATCTTCTGATCCGTAGTCAGACGCGTTATCCGTTGCGCCACAGGACCAATTTCTTACACTGTTTTTAAATTTGTACAAATATTGTACACGTAAATCTCATTAAACAATTACAAATAAATTGATTTAACAATCAGATATTAATAAATACCTTCTCGGCCTACCTTTATTTCAAGCTACAATAAATAAAAGAGAAGAAATTATGTATTCTATTCTACTCTACTCTACATGTATCGCAAAACAATTTTGCTCATTGTCTCATTTGACGAGTTGACGATATGAGAGAATCGTAAAAGTTTTTTCTTTTTTTATAGATCAGATATTTACGAGATATATCGTGCAAATGGTTCACCGCTTGGCATTTTACGTGGGCTAATGTTACGTTGCCTGCGTAAACGCCGAGAAAAATCGCTAACGAGCCAACGAGCCAGAAATCGGGAATAAATCGCACGACGTTAAATGTCATCGTGACGGGGATATCGACTCACCGTGGTCAAACGGGACGGAGCGTTACAATTAAAAACTAAGGCGCGCACGACAGTACCTACAAGATTGGGAACATGCACGGCACAGGAATCCGACTTTCGAAACAATACACACCTCGTGACACTTCCGCGAAACAATAATAATCAACACTATCAAACGATCTATCTCTCTCTCTCTTTCTTTCTTTCTTCTTCTAACGTTTGTTCGTTTTCTGAACGATCGGCGATACACGCCCAACAAACGGATTTCCCATAATCATTCGTGTTAACGCGGATAGTGCGTGTGTCCGACGCTGAGAGAGATAAAAATTCAAACGTACGGGTAACTAGAACGAGCACGTAATTCAATGAGTAACGTCAATGTCACCCCGCCACTGTCCATCGAATGATAGGAGGGTGTCGAGCCAGCCGAAGAAATCGGGAAAAATTATGTTTCGACGTTTGCCACGGACAATCGATCATTCTCCACTCACCGTTCGTAGCTAGATCAGTCACGCGAACCACATAACCACGCGCGTCCCGTTCAACACCTCGAGAACACGAGTGAAACAGACCGAGAGCTGTCACGGACCGTCGATACGCTCGCCATTTTGGTTTACACTGACACTCCGAAACGACCAGCGAGGTGTTTTACCGTAAACGCGCATGCGCGCGACAGGTGGCTGCCCGGGAGTTGAACAATGTGTCCGCAATGCAACGCTGATATTCCAAACTTAAAGATCTTTAATATATCGCCAAACTCGTGTAACATCAACGATATTACAAGACGTTATACAATATAATTTCGTAATTATACAAAATTGTTGTACGAAAAGTAATGAGATGTAAGAAAATAAAGATGACGTATATGAAATAAATCTATTGCCTGATCGTTTCCTATATTATCGATTTAACATAGAATACGATTACAACGCCATGAAATGCGGTACCAATAAAAACGACATACGAAAATGATAAAGGAGTCCAAGGATTCTCAAATCGTGAGTCGAAAAAATATTTCGTCACAGACGAGGAATATTGGGCAGTCTCAAGAGCCTCTTATCATTTTCCTATCACATCCTGTTGTACCGATGCAGGCAAGTTTTGCACTGCAGCACTACTAGTGATGAAAATTAAAATTAAGCGTACACCGTGCAACAAACGGATTTTCCATAATCATTCGTATTAACGCGGATAGTGCGTGTGTCCGACGCTGAGAGAGACGAAAATTCAAATGTAACTAGAACGAGCACGTAATTCGTGTTGAAAAGCGCTAGGCGCACAGCCACTTGCGGTTTGTACAAATTGGTGTTCGAAACTTGTACTCGAAGAACTATAGGTCGCTACAATCCCGTGAAACAGAGAAATTTTCATTTGCGAAAAAACCTAATTTAGCGAAATGAATTCTAAACTTTGGCGATTGTATTACCCTAATTAGACCCTCAGCTTTCTTTTCATACCCCATTTGACCCGTAAAATGGAGAAATAAGTATTTTTACAAATAATTAGTACCTCTGAGTTACCACTAGATGGCGCCACCATGTCAATTTTGTGACAGTTCGCACTAATTACGAAAAAAACCTAATTATGAGGAATAATTTGCCAACTTTTTTATATGCCTCCTTAAAATTAGGCTCCCCATTTTCTTGCTATGTGTGTTTTGTCCTAGAGAAACGTGTGTGTAAAAAGTTGAATTTTTTTTTCAATAGATCGAAGGTTGTCCTTGTCGCACACTGTTGCTTTCCTTGTCTAGCGTCATTAGACAAAGAGCGCACTAGTGTACGACAAGGACAAACATATATGCGCGGTAGACAAGGAGAGCAACAGCGTGCGACAAAGACAGACATATACACGCGGTAAACAAGGAGAGCGATAGCGTGGGACAAGGACAGATATATTCGCGCGGTAGACAAGGAGACTACTTTTGATGTAACGCGCCAAATCATGAAATGGATTTCTTCCTTCGTTCTATTTAAAGTTTTAAATGAACGTAAAAAGATTTGGAAATTTGTTACACATATTTATATTGATCAAATTGGTCGAAATAATTGGTTTCAAAAATATTTAATTACTTGCAAATTACATTGGGAACTTGAATCGAAATTGGAGGTGATATAGTTGGAAACGTGCACGAAATGTTTTACACACAGTTTCGGATATGAATCTTTATTCGGTTAGTTATTAACAATTATTCCAGAACGATGGATCGATTTACATACGTGATTTACATTATCCCAAATTAATTTACAAACTTTCTTCCATGAATATTAAATCACCGATGAACAACAAATATTCTTCGAATACTTTCAAGCAACAGAGATTCATTATGATCCCGATAATATTAGGAATTGTGCAAAATATTTCATATATTGTAATTCAAATTATACGTATTTACAAATTTGGTCGTAATGTATTTACAATAATACTCTAGCAAAGAACATTTTGAAAACTGAATTTTCTGCTAGATCAACAAGAATAGAAAAGAATCAACAAGAATAGAAAAATCTGATTAACGGACAAAAATATAACTATTTTGTGTCACATCGCTGCTGAAAGGAAAGATTATGTCTCAATCTCAAATTAGTTTCGAAGTAGTATGTACATACAGAATATTTTCATACAAATAACCATTAACCATTACCCACGATATCATAAAAAATAATTTCAAAATTATCTGTTACATACATTAACGTATGTGTTTTCTTTTCTTTTTTTTTTTGTTTTCTATTATTTTTCATATTTATTGCCGTAAAATATACGCTAAAAAATATCATTGCTTCAAAGTTTTTTAAAATACGATAGAAAATTGTTTGGCTAGCGCAATTGTCGAGAATTAGGTTCACATTACAGTCTCACCATTTTTCAAAACGAGAACTAAATATCGTGTATCAATTCATATACATATGTATATTCTACAAATACAAATTACAAAACATTCACATCAATGGAAGTTTGTGCTATTTGTTTAAATGGAAACAGTTCCTCTCTCTCTCCCTTTTTCTCTCTCTTTATCGTTAAATTTTCTTTTTAAATATTTAAATATTTAATTATAGCTACTTTCACTTCAGCGCTCAACAATATCTAAATACATCTTTTACCACAAAAATTTCACAATTCTAATTTCTTTACAACGAAATTATTGTTATTCTAACTTCAATTAACCGAAGTAAAACATATTTAAAAAATAGTAATTTTTAATCTTCGTTCAAACGAAATATTTCTTCTAATCTTGCAAAGCTCTAAGATCATTATAGAGAGCATTGACGCCATTGGAAATTCACACGGATTTCAAGGACTTGTAACCGATAATGCAATCAAAAGGGATATTTCAGATAAAAGTTTAATCAGTTTTAGACCAGCTATAAATTGTATGTGCTAGTAAAAATTGTCACAGAGAGATCTTTGTCTTTAGATGAAAGAACAAAGGTCTGTTTTTTTTAATTACTTTCTTTCTTTGATCACACGACCTGTATGCAGATAAGTGATAAAACTTTCAAGTACTCAAAATGTTTTGTACAATTCTAATTTTATAACGTTAACTATATCTTGCAACAGCAAAAATCATTCTGCGAACAGTTTACGAAAGATATTGCATTGACACCGGAGATGGTTTCATGTTTCCTGTAACTTAATTTTCCACGCAAAGCAAATTCTTGTTTTGATGCTTTATCTAGTTTTATGATCCTTGATCATCGTGATATAATTCATCATTCATTTGTAAAACAAGCTTTATACGAACATTTAACTTTACACACGTAGATAAAAAGCAGATGAGATTAAGAGGAGAGATAGTTCGAGGCTTTCTCAAAAATATTACACGAACTTCCTGAATCTAATGGAATTATTTACAATTATTTTATGAGATTTAACATCATTACTATTCCACAGTAGTAACGAAATATATTTATATATACTGTATATATAAAATAAAAATATATAATCCATCTCGTGTTTTAAAATTTCTTAGTTGATAACCATTACAATAATTAATAAAAACGCAGTCTTTTAAAATAGTACTGAAACACTGGAATTATATGATTTGACAATACACATGCCTTGTTCATTTTTGTCCAACACAGCCGCTGCTACAGAAATATAATTGCCTTCGTTAGAAATTTATTTTCAGCAATAACATTGGCTAATACATTATTGCTATTTTTGATCTTTTCAAGCCGTTCACTAAAAAAAATCAAAAATAGACAAAAAATACTATACAAGTCGACATATCGAGACGTTGCAATCTATGAATCAATAGTAGCGAATGAGTTAGTGTTAGCATATCAAGTTAATGCATATCAAACGCGCGTAGCATTGACATGCCACGTTCAACGAAACAATGTTTCACGCTCTTTAACCTAATATACATATATACATATAACAAAATCATCTTATCTATTTACTTTATCAAAATAATGTATCATTTCCATTACTCCTTGCACGATAAAATCAATTCATTTTCTTGAGCATTATGTTTCAACGATCGTGTCTTTTCTCAATTTAAGCCATTAAGAACCAAGCGACAAGACATATAAGTTGCGTGAACGTAATATCATTCAAAAAGTCCAATAGAGTAAGCTGTTGGTTTGGAAGATGGTTCAAAAGATGGCCAATACTTCCTCTTTAACTTTATAAAATTATAAGACCTCGATAGAAAACGAAGTACTGACGATATCGAGCGAATCTTTCGAACTTTTTTTCTCGTGACCACGTAATTCAATAACGTGAGTTATCAACGGAAGAATAATAAAATTTAACGAATGGAAATATTACGTTAACGCAACGTTACGGTTCCTGGATCTAGATCAATCGTTCGTCAGATCGCTCTCCGAATGACTGTTCTCTCTCTCTGTTCTCATCTTGTGCTCGACGTAACAGAAGGTGACAGTAGCAATGACGTTGCTTATCGCCAAAATGAGAAGCTGCGTGTAGAGGTGAGCGACGGTGCTGTAAGCGAAGCTTATTGCCGTCGCGATCGATTGGCAGAACTTGAACACCGCGAATGCTGATGCGCTCTGTTGCACGTACATTGTGCCCAACAGCGAGTAGATTTGAGTATTGAAGCAAGCGTCTCCGAAGCCAAGAGCGAGGCTCCCGGCCATCGCCAGAATCGGCGACGTGGTGATGTACGCTGGACTGTCGGTGTCGGTGAACGGCGAGTCGTTCGGCAAATTCAGGAAAATGGTAACGAAGGCGAACAGGTTGACGCAGAATCCGGTGATCACCACCGACCACACGCCGCAGACGCGGGACACCTTGGTGCCGCAGATGCCAAAGATGATGCCGCCGATCACCTCCCCAATCCCGATGAAGATCCCGGAAAGGCCGACCAGGCTCTTACGAAACTCGCCCAACGCTTTGGTGAATCCGATACTGGACGAATAGACTCCCGAGTAGAACGTCAACAACAGTCCGGTGTAGAGGAACATCAAAGACAACAGAAGCATCCTCGGTGTAATGAAAAGAGAGAGCGCATCGGCCAAAGCGTTCCACGCAGCCAACAGTGGTTTCTTCCTCGCAGGCTCTGGTATTCGAAGTTCCTTGTCAGCGCTGGAAACACCTTCCGCCTCCCCTAAGACCAAGCTGTGCGACACTTTTCTCAAGGCGAGCAGTAAACACGTGCCGAGAAACCCCACTCCGGTGAGCACACTGAACACGAATTTTCTTTGCGACGCGTCGATCTTTGGTTCCTTGAACTCGTAGTAGACGAAAATGTTGCCGGCGAATATAGAGAACTGAAATATCACCCAAAATATTCCGGTGTTCCTGGACATCGTACTCGAGTCGCTGTTCTCGGTTAGGTATTGCCCGTGTCCGGTCCATATCAACGCAGCTCCCAAACCTATGATACAGGAACCGGCATAGAGGAGAACAGTTTGAGGCCAGAGGAAAGATGCTAGGAAAAGAACGTAGAAGCAAGCGCCGGTCAATATAGCAACCCGCGGTCCTGTTACCGAGATGTACGACGGTGCTAGCCAGTTGCATATGGCAAACGCCGCATAGACTATAGCTAAGCTGACGTAGGCTTCGCCGGTGAAATTCGGATCATCGTTGTGAATACTATCCAGCACTGTTTTCTGCACAGAAAATAAGCCTAATGTAATAGAATACAATAAACGTTTGCGTTTTTATCAATTTTAACTTAAATTGTTATTGTCTTGGTAATATTTTTCTTTTTCTTTCTCTTGTTTTAGTATCTCAATGCGTTTAATCTTGATGAATTCACTCTGAATGGAACGTTACTTGATAATCCATTCACAATAGATGACGTATCGCTACATCGAAGAAGAATTGCTCATCTTCGACGATGAACGAGAAATTAGCCGATGCTTGTAATCATCTAGTCTAACTACTTACAAGGTAAAGAGTTAAGCAACCATTCGCGTTGTTCCATCTTTTACAAATTATTATTTATAAAAGAGGTGGTAAAACTGCCAAGATGTTGTGTCCTTCACCCTGAGATTTGCATGATCTTTAAATATGTGTAGGATCAACTTAGTTTTCAAAATGTTCCAAAGTTGCAAAAAATTGTCAGTACCACTACAATGAACTCTATTCATAATTATGCATTCATGCATATGCATCAGTATTGGTCGTAAGGCGGCCAAACATATGAGCTAACCCAAACCCAATTCTTGCTTTTTGTTTATGTAAATATTACATGTACATTAGTTTTATTTAAACTTTATTTTGGTAAATGTTATGTAATATGTACACTAATGTTCAAGAAAAATAAATAAATAATGATGTTTATATTGATTTACTAATTAATTTATTCAGAACAATGTACATAATAGTTTAATTGGACAAAAGTATTGTAAAAGAACACTACCAAGTTTATGCACAAACATGAAGCTTCTGCATATAAACGAATAGACTTTCATATATCCTGTGTTATCTACCAACATGTTCAAAAATCATCAAAATCGAGAGGACATGATACATCGGCAGTTAGATTAATAGACAATAAATTACAATAAAAAATTATTGCAAGAATGTACATGTATGTAGAAAGAAACATGCACAACTGAATGATAACCTCAATTTTCAAATGTTATTTTCAGAAGATAAATATTAAATTACATGCCGACCTTATTTCAATAGATTTTATTTGTACAATTATTATCTGTTTGCTATATTGGATGCAAACTAGATCGTGACTGTTTCCACTTTCATTATTTAATAGAATTAATAGAATCTATCAAGGCCTAACAATTGACTGTTACCTTTTTCCTGCACTGAACAATTTGTTGAACACGTCTACATATATGTCGGTGTATGATATCCAACGTAATATGTATTGTATATATTTCTATATATTATTTACATGTATATCACACTATAAAAATAAAAAAAGCAATATTATCTTATTAACATACAACATTGTGTCTCTTAGCTTATCTTTTAAAAATACTCCTATTATGTTTTCTATTACAAGAATTGCAACGACAATAGTTAAAGTTAATTGTAATAAATATATTTATCGCTATTATTTAAAAAAAAATAATACTTTGAACTATAGATTTATATGTCATACATACTTATCAATAATAACTGATAAATTTTGTTATCAAATCTCTCAAGGCTAATTATACACTGATAATAATGTTATCAGTTTAAATTTTATTGTTTATGACTGCAATCATAATAAAAAATAATGATTTTGAATTCAAAGTATATTATGTAATTCAATTTGATTGTTTCTTCTCTCACAGATTGTTGATTTTCTCTGAAAGATACTAATGTGATATTTGTCATCAACATTTCATGAAGATATTCAACAAAAATTTATAATTTTGGCAAAATATCACTAAATTTATCTTGCAAAGATGATGACAGAACCTGATTGACAATAAAAGTTTTTTGCAAGAGGTTTTAAGAAATCCAAAATGTAGAATTCTTACTAGTAACAATAACTTTATGTTTATTTGGATATGATCAATAATCACTTTTTTTCTGAATTGTTATTTTACTGATGCATTATGATGTACAACAGAAGTTAATAAATTTTATTAGTTTCACAGTTTATGCTTATTTTTTATAACTTTCTCATCATCTTCAAAATTATGCACTCCTTATAATTTCCTTAAAATTTGCAGAATTATGTTATGTAAAAAGTTTTTGTTACCAGTCAAATTAATTAATTTCTACCTTTATAACAAATTAATAATAAAAGAAACACACATTTATGAAAATTACATTAATACTAAAATTGTTATAAACAGTATTTATTAGAAAATGAATACAAATAATTCTGTTAAGTTTTCTTTATATGATCAATTTATTTATACAAAAAATATTTCTTCAGCACTGTGGCTAATGGCAAGTAATCAACTAATTTCAATGGTTAACACCAATATGAAAATCATCTAAAATTAACTTTATTATCAATATGTACAATACTTTGTATAATAGAATAACTTTAAACTGGAACAAGATACATAGAGAATAATGTGCGTACAAAAATGCTAGAAATAACTATCCGTCAATTATATAATAACGACATATAGTTATAAGATTATAAGATTTAATTAATATGATACATTAAACTATAATTAATATTGCAACTGTCAATAATTTGTTTCCAAGTGCAATGTACAACATATGATTGTATGATTGTATGTACGTAATAATTAATGTAATTATGTGATTTCAAAGTTACAATAGAGAACTACTATATGTACATAATACATAAAATATATTTTACATTTTCTTCACTTAATATTATATAAGTACAAATATATATATAAAGGAGAAAATTACTAATTGTAATGACTTAATTATTAATGTTTAATGGTTCCAAAAATACATTTATTATACACAATGCTAAATAACTTGAATCACACACAATAACAATAAATACAATATGTTTATGCATACAATACTCTGGCTTGTGAATAAAAAAATATTTAAGATAACTTTAATAAATTATTTTAGTAAATAATATAACCAGCTATTAAATTAAAAACCTTGTTTAGCTTGTTTTTACAAAAATTATTAATCAGATTTCATTTCAATTTTTTCATACAACGAATGGATGAATAGAATTTATACTAAATTAAAACTAAATTTATATTCTCATAACCATACTGAATACTGATTCATATATATATATAAAATACATAAATTCTCCGTTCATGAAAAAATTCAAATCAAATATCTATTGTCTATTTTTCAAACTTACCTCGATATTTCCCAACGTCTGAAATGCGGTAAATAACAACATAAATCCCCAGCTTAGTATCATCACATTTATAAAACTTTTGTCTAATCTCATGATGAATACTTTTAAATAAAATCAATCAAAATAAAAAAAGAAAGAAAAAAAGGAGGGAAAATCAGAAAAAAATTGAGAAAATTTTTCGCGGGCACGCTCAAGCTTCGTTATTCGGAGTGAAGTATTAAAGGATCAAGAGTAAACAGATGGTCGCGATCTAGGTGAGAAATAGAAGCGAATGTGCGATTGCCAACAATACATAATTCCCTTCTTCCTCAATTGACATGATTTGAAGTCATCGTCAAACTATGGTGGATATACTTCTTATCGACTGCATGATACGTTGTGTTAGAACGAGCATCGATATATCGATATCTTACACGCTATAAATAGGTTATGATTGCAATATTTAACGTCGTATAGTAATATTATTCCGAAAAATATTTCGTAGAGTAGCAAATACACCAAATTGGCATTATATTTGCAATTATTATTTGCCGACGATGGCTCTACATACTAATTTTGTCCTAAATACATGTTTGCAATAAATATCTTGTAACTTTTATATACAGGGTGTCCCGTAAATAGTGGTATGAATAAAAGGTGAAAAAACTAGCCGAGAAGAAAGAATAAAATTTTTCCATTGAAGCTTTTGTTTTCGTGAAAATTGAATTTGAAAAATTTATCAAGCATATTTGAATTTAGTTAATTTCGTACTGGCCAGGCGCGAATGATCGACACGAAGATATCCTATGCGCAAACGTGATACAAACGTGAAGCAGAAATAAGCTGGGTTAAAAATAGCAGTTGTATTTAAACGAATATTATATGTTGAAAATTATTTACACAGATGAAAATTTAAATACATTAATCTGAGAATACAAACTGTTTTATTTATCCTCGTCCCGTACAATTATCCATGTAATAATGATAATGAATATTTTTTCATATAAAATAATTCTCCTATTCGGTTGTACTTTTAGTTACAGAACACCCTGTACATCCTCAGATTCGTTCCAAATTTGACCAATATAATCATTGCAGTCCTGTTACAATATTAACGAAACATCAAAATATTTTATATAATACACACACACACACACACAGCACAGCACAAATTAAAAAATTTTCACCAGCTACTTATTAACTGATGCGTATTATGATTGACGTTTTACGAGCGACCATTTCAAATTTCCCGCGCCCATCGGTACGATATCTCGTTCCGAACGAAATCACAATGGGAAACAAGAATGGCCGACTGCGGACAGTAAAAACTTGTTGTCCCCCCCGTTATCGAATATCCCGATAAAAATTAAATTCAAGGCCCGTTCGAAGAGAGAAGCGAAAATTGTCGCGCGACAAAAAGTTTCTCCGAACGATGAATAACGTGGACGTCTGTTTTCGGTATTGGAGGTGTGTTGAGCAGCCAATGGTGAACAAGAAAACAAAATGCCGCGATTAAAAGTTGCCGAGATTCTGACACGTTTGCAAATTTAAGATACAAACGGTGAATTCTCGTAACGCACTCTCGTGAATGCGGGCACGTCGACAGCGTGCAAGGATACACGAGTCGGAGCGTGTTGTTCGCTCGTGCGTTAGAGGGTGTGCGATCGTTATACAAACATTATGACGAATTGCTGTCCTTCGAGTGATACGAAGGGTTCTCTCCGTTTTTTTTTTTCACCGTCCGTGTGTTCCTTCGCCGTCGCGCGATTACGCTAAACATGTGCGGTCGTGAACGTAGGTGCAGTTAACAGATCACGAAGCAGTCGTAATCGCAGTGGATCAACGTGAAACCTTCTTTTACATAATAAGCATTAGGTGATTGTATGTCAATCATGAAGAAACAATTCTTCAGAGTCAAACAACTCGCCGATCAAACATTTTCCAGGTAATCGTAATTCCGTTTTCGTAGAATTAAATTTTCAAGACGATTGTAGAGCGCGTATTCACTTTCTACGTATTATACTATAGCTACGTGAAATACTCGATTTTTTGAACAGAGCATATCTTCTTATTGTCTACAATAAGAAATAATTTCCATTCTCCTGAAATTTTCGAGGTAGAAATTCAAACGTTGAAGTCAGATAGAATTCAGTAGAAGGAGATATACTAATAGAAGAAGATATACGAAAATAGCTTATGAATCAGACTATCTTAAAATGGATTGGCTTTGGAGAACATTACTTCAATTTGAATTTGTCAATGTGTAAAGTTGTTAACCGAGATTTTCGTTTTTTTGTAGAGCTGGCAAAACCGAAGTGCTTACAGATGATTTGCAAGCCGCAGATAAACATGTAGATCAAATTAGGATGGCTCTCATTGGATTAAACAAGAGACTTGGCAATCCACCGAATCAGGCTATGATACAAGATGTTGCGCTTAAAGAAAAACGATTGGTAATACACAATGAGATTTGCATTTAAACTCTTTGTATGATAACGTTTCCCTTCGTTTTCATTTTTAATTGTGTATCTTTCTAGAAAAAGTGCCCGGAATATGTATTGGGACAAACAATGTTAGAAAATGCCCCTGAAGATGGCCTCATGGGTTTTACTTTATCCGAATGTGGTCGTGCGCAAATGTATTTAGCGAACGAAGCGATTGAACACGAAGCGAAAGTTGAACAATATGTTGCAATACCGCTTCAACATATTTTAGACACAGACGTACCAAATATTATAAAGCATAAAAGAAATTTAGCCCGATTAACTTTAGATATGGACAGTGTGAGGACAAGATATCAACAAGCCAGTAAACACAGTGCTAGTACGAAGAAATTTTAATCTGACCTTTAAGTTACACAATTACAAGAATTACGTTCAACTTTTGAAATTGATGTTGTGCAATAGGTGCAGGTGCAACGAAGGTAGATAATTTAAGAGAAGAATTAGAGGAGGCGGAAGCTAAAGTTGAACAATGTAGAGATCAACTGGCTGCAGAAATGTTTCAACTTATGTCACGTGAAACTGAATTGGCACACACTATTATACAGTACGTGAAACTTCAAAGAGCTTATCACGAAAGTGCGTTGCATTGCCTCGAAGATCTTATTCCTGGATTAGAAAGTTATATTAGTAAGTATCCAAATGTATTTGTAAACCGAAAACGTTTGCTCAAGGATTTTTATCATGTTATGTTTTCAAAATTCACTAAAAATTTTAATTCACATGCAACTCCTTTGTAGATGATAATGAAATGAAACCAGTTTATGGCTATCCTCTGGAAGAACATCTCAGAGTAACTAACAGAAAGATTGCGTTGCCCATTCAATTGTGTGTGTCTGCGTTGTTAAGATTAGGTATGGAAGAAGAGGGCCTTTTTAGAATAGCTGGCGCTGCATCGAAATCGCGACGAATTAAACTGAGTTTAGATGCATGCTGCCTCACATTACCAACTGCTCTTGAATACAAAGATCCACATGTAATTGCTGGCGCATTAAAATCTTATCTTCGAGAATTACCCGAGCCTCTTCTAACTTACAAGTAAATATATAAAGATAATATTTATTATCCTTGATAATGGTAGGAAGTACTATAGCATTACATATGTTGTTTTCATCTTATTTTAAGATTATATTCTGAATGGATGGCAGCTGCGAAGATAACTCAAAATGAAACAAGATTGAGAGCTCTCTGGGAGGTGTTACATAAGTTACCACCTGCAAATTTAGAAAATTTACGGTTCCTAATCAAATTTTTAGCAGTTCTCACTAAAAACCAAGATGTGAACAAAATGTCACCACAAAATATTGCAATTGTAATCGCCCCTAACTTAATATGGAGTCCACAGGAGGATGTAAATACAATGGTGTAAGAATGTTATTTATTTACGTAATTTGTATAATTAATCATTACGAAGTAAGTTACGTGATAATTTCTACCAATGTTCATTATTTCAGAATGAATATGAGCACAGCTAATAACTCTAGTCTTATAGTTGATCAATTGATCACGTATGCAGATTGGTTTTTTCCTGGTGAAATAGATTTCGATCGTGATTTGGAGGTCGGTATTATAAACTGTTCAGAAAATCAAACCATGAGTATGCGTCGTTGCGTTTCCAATAGTAGTCTTAGTGATCACGGAGAAAGTCCTCCACAAGGCAGTCCTAAACCAGCAGCTCGCAGGAAAAACAAACCAGCTCCAACACCACCAAATAGCACTACTCCGGATAAACATGATAAAAAATCTGATGATAAGCCACCACCGACGCCTGATAAACCACCTAGACCTTTAACATCAGGAACTCTTAATCGTATGAAAAAACACGAAACAACAAATACTGAGTCAATCGTAAAACATGACAATAACACAGATAAGCAGGACGGAGGCATAGAAACAGAAACTAAACAACACAATAGTGAAGTAAATGCACTTATAGATTCTTCGTCAATTGATTGTTCAGATCGTGTTAACGAAGTACAAGAAGATTTACATAATACGAACACGGAAACTGAAAAGGTTAACCAAGAAAATCAAAAAGCTGAAAAGAAATTATACACTCCTGTTGCTCTTGAGAGAAATACCATAGAAAATGCAGTATGCAATAAATCTATTATAGAAGTAGAAAACTCAGAAAATTCTACACATAAATTGAAGGTATTACCAACTGAAAGACCGCTTCCCTCTACACTAGAGAGACGCAGACCAGTAGCTGCTCCAAGAAGCATAACCAACATAGTACATAATACAGGTAAATATTTTCATAATTTTTTATTAAAAAAAAAATACAGAATGTTTAACATATACCTTACCCTTGTAGAAGAAATGGTCGAATTACGTAAGAAGACGGACAATAATCCTGTATATACAAGCACACTTGATAGAAGTAGTAAACCAGCTATTCCAGAACGACCAGCCGGATTAATTCGACCTTCGAGTCTCATTAAACAACAACCACGGCACAGCAATGAGAACTTAGACAGCGAAACAGGGGTGAGTGTCTGAGTGTTTAAACATTACGTTCATTTTCAGTATATGTAAGATAATTCTTTAAAATAAATGTAGTTACTGCCAGTGGACTCGACAAATATCACTGCCTGGATATTGCATTTTGAAATACAATAACGTAAGCAATATATAAAAGGAAGAACAAACTGTGTTGAAAATTAATTTTCATTTTAACATGTCAAATCGCACGATAATTTTTCTCAAGGTTATTAATATCTTTTTCCTTTTTAACAACCTATAGCCTTTAACTTTGGAAAGAGCTCATGTATATTCAGTGGACAAACAACAGGTCAGTATAATACAAGTGCGTGGCAATGGCAATGTGTTCTGCACCTCGGGCAACAACAATGGCAACGCGGCTTCGAACTTACAGAGAAGCCCCAGTGTAGGTAGTCGACCCTCGTCTATGTCCTTGTACGGCGAACGACCGGAAAAGCCAGCCAAATTGAACGCTCCAGAACAAACGAAAGCTCATGTACGAACCAGATCAGAAGGAAATATTATCGATGTGCAAACTCAGACTGAGACGGTAGTTGTTGTCAAATCACCGCAACAACCTGTTCCGGCCTCTCCAAGATTTCATCAAAGGCCTCCGCGACCACAACCGCCGCCACCACCTCCACCCACCGCGCGAATTAAATCAGAACACGAAAGTACTAATCTCTAGAATTAATTGTGTAAAAAGTGATTACTACATTCATAAGAGAACTTTTAAATTAATATTTAAAGAAAGAAAGAAAAATGAAAGGCTATATTTCTTATAAGACAATATGAAACTGCAGGAAACATTTAACAGAAATTATGTACGTTTTCCTACTTTTAGTGAAATGAATATTTAACAATCACATTGAAAATAATAGCACATCATTTAAACGAAATTTTTGAAGTTATGCAGAAAATGAGAAATATGTTTTCTTCTGTATTTTTAAAATGATAATAAAAAGAAAAAAGCGAAAAATAAATTTGCAATTGTAAGATTAAACATTTTTAAGTTTTTATAGTTATATATTAAAGGTAATTGAAAGAAATTATATATGTTATTTCCATATTTAACTCTAGTATTTTTGCAATTTATCGATTTTTATATTTGTAAAAATAATGAAAACGTATAAATGTAAATGTATAAAATGATGTGGCATTTGATCTCTCTTGATTGACATATGTTTTAAGCACACAAATTTCAGTATGGTTATTATGTAATACAAAATGGAACATACTTGGCATTAATTATAACATGTTTGTATTTTGTATGTAATTTATTTATATTTACAGAGTATATACTAGATTGTAATGCATTTACTAAGGTGATTACTTATTAAAAAAGAGGAAAGAAATGAATTTTTGGAATTAGTTTTAAGCTGTTACAAAAAATAATTTTGGATAAAATAATATTTTGACTGCAATGTAAATAAATAGGCGTCTATTGCGTGTATTTGTTTTACAAAATAACAATACTGTGATAACATAAAATTTATAATATTGCCAAAAATTCTAAAATTTTCAGTTGTTTAATTTCAGTTATTTAGCTTAAACGAAAATAATATTTAATATGCTTATTCAATTGTATTCAAAGTTAATTCTGTTGTATTAGATGTATAAGGTTATTTTGTTTTTATTTACTGATGCAATATTTATGATTTACAAAATTTTACAATCCATTAACAAATTTTACTTTTTCAAAACGAAATATTTTTTTAAATGTAAAAAAATGTATGTATTGATAAATATATTGTATATAATAACATTTAATGACATTCATTCATCAAAAATTCTTTCTTATTTCTACAAATATGCAATAATAAAAAAAATCTAATTTTATATTTATTTTTTTATATGAAATCATCTGCGTGGTGAAATTACGATTTAGCTCTTTTTAAATAATATTATTAATTAAACTACCTGATAAATGTTTAAATATCTTGTACTCGTATTCTTATTCGTTTCATTAACAATCAGGAGCTTTTATTTCAGAATTTATATTAAATGAAATTTAATATTAAACATTGTTGTATTAGTTCAGTAAAAAACAAAAAATGAAAATATACAAATTTTTTGTAATGCAAATCATCTAAACACTTTAGTTTTTATATTCTTTTTTAGTAATTTACATATATGACTGATATATTAATTATAATAAAGACAACTAATGCAACAACATTTATTTCTTCAAATAATAATTAAATAATCTCAAACAAGATATAAATAATCTCTTCAATGTCTTTTATTATTATGAATTATTACAAATTTATCATTAATTAATTTAACAATATATATTTCTAAAATTATACATAATTAATATTTAACATTTAATTACAATATTTCTTTAAAATTTTCACCAGCGATATCTTTAGGTGATATACCGTTATTATCTTCTATAAATTCAGCTCCAATAGAAATTAAATATTCTACAACATGATGATGTCCACAAGATACTGCATAATGCAGTGGTGTTTGACCATCCTCGTCTTGTGCATTTACATCTGTTCCTTTTTCAATCAATTTTTTAATAATTTCTAAATAGCCTCGATCAGCAGCCCAATGTATGGGTAACAAACCTTCTGAGTCTATTAAATTTGCAAGTTTTGGTTTCTTATCAAGTAATTCTTGAACTTTTTCTTCATGTCCTTCTTTTACCCAATCCAAAAAGGTTTTATCTGCATCACTTATTTCATCTTCTGTACTTATCAACCGACTAATAACAACCCAATTAGAATCAGATTGTTTATCCCAATCAGGATTAAGTTTATCTAATTCAAGTAGATAATTTTTCATAGCATCGTCATAACTCATGTCACCAAGCGTTTTCCATGCTTGCCATTTTTTTAATACATTGCCCATAAACATTAAAGGTTCGTAGGTGTTACAGGGTCCAATCGTAGCCTGCTTATATAAAGCATAGAATTTTAGCAGTTGTGCAGAATCTAAGTCTGATGCCATTGACTGTAAATACTCTGCTGCTCTATTGAATTTTTTTTCGAGACTCATTTTGACAATTATAATTATAATTATACTATTTCTCTGAATGTCTCAAGTAATGATTAATAACTGAATCTTTATTTATATTGTAATTTGTTTCGACGTCGTCCTCTTCTGAATCTTCTTCTATATCTGTCCAAGGCAGATTTTCTTTATATGCGTCAGTGTTAAATGCCAGGTAGCGTTCATCTACAAATTTTTTAACAGAATCTTCATGTAAATATTTAAGACCTTCAGTAATAGATAATTTTTCATTTTCCAAAACATGACATTTTTTCAGTACAGAATTCATTACTGTTTTATCATAAAATTCTACAAATCCATAACCTGTACTTAAACCAAGTTTATTAAATACAATTTTTGCAGCTTTTACATCACCGAATACTGAAAAATATTTTTCAAGCTCAGTGTGAGAAACAATCCATGGTATATTACGTATAGAAATTAAATATCTTCCAGCCATGGCAAAAGACCCACTTAAGCTCTACGCTGTATACTTAACAAATGAATTGTATGATCCTGCATTAATTCATTTATATTTATATCAGAATCTGCTCCAAGTCCAGTCAATGATATATGAGTGCAAGTAAGATTCCATTTATTTAACAGATGTTCTATAGACCAATCTGCACTTCTTTCTTGATAAGTACACAAGAATTTTGCATTTGGATTTCTTTCTAACAAGAATGCTACTGTAACAACTATATCTTCGAATAACGTTGGTTCATAAAAACAATCAGAGCCGAGAATTAAATCTAATGGTCCAATTGAAAATAAACTAGACAGAAATAAACCCCATGTAATACCAACAATTTGAACCTGAGACAAAATACCATTTAATTCACAACCTCTCCTTATATGCTGTAAACTTCTAGGAAAACTAGCAGAATCGCTTAAAGTTACAATAGCACCACATTTACTAGCTAAAATTCCAGGAAGAGCTGTACCTGATCCAAGCTCTAAAACTCTTTTCCCAATGAGTTCTTCTTTATGTTCCCAAAGAAACCAAGCTAGCACAGGTGCGGATGGCCATGTATAAAAACTATAATTAGCTTGAAGTAACTGTAACAAAAAATAATTAGCTTGAGGCAGCTGTAGTAAAACCTTAAACGTTTTAGTATCATGCAGTGTGATCGCGCTTTTCAGACTTCATGTTGAATAATGCTACAGTGGTTGATCGCAATGCTTGTGATGCTCAATGTACAATGTGCTTGGTTTCGATTATAACGCCATTATAATGTTGTCAGTCATATTGAAGCTTCCTTTTCTAATTACTTTCTTTTCAATTAAACTTAAACCACATTGCATAAATAGGCAATTTTTATTTTGTTTGCTTTTGTCGCGTAGCTTGGCATTTTTCGCAGTTACATCAAGGAAACGCAATCGCGCTGCATGGCACTATTCAACACGGTTTTTTAAATAGCCCGTGACACTAAAACGGAGTTAAGAGAAAATAAGACTGTAAGTCTTAACCTGTCCGCTATATGTTTTAAAAGGGCATGTTATTTTTTCAAGTTCTTTAACATTAAATATTTCATGATCAATCAAAATGACAAATTTAATTGCAAAACAATTTCTTCGTTACTTTGTTGAAAATACATGAATTACTGTTTCAGTAAAAAAATATATATATATACATATATATATATATATATTTAAAGAAAATTACCGAAAAAGTACATGCGGTACGCGTGCAACAAAAATGAATTGACGATGTATCAATTAGTGAAAAATTCTAATACCTCCGGAATATAGATTTCCAAACTCTCGTTGCACTGTATGTTATCCTGAGTTTTACGAGACGTGAACAAGAATTTTTTCACTTCCTCGGAAACAATTCCATCTGACATGAGGCTGACCGTAGAAAGACTAGCATCGCGTGAAATACTTCCCTCTAAACCTGGCATGACTAATTATCAAGCCATTTCCACTAGTCTAGTGGAAATCTGTTCATTCTAACTGTAATTGTTCAGTCGCAAATAGAAATCATAAACGTCAAATTTTCATTGCCTGTAAATGAAATTAAAATATAATATTGAAAATATAATCGCTAATATGCTAATTATTGATTCGTACTATAATAGAAATATATAAATGTATAGATAATATTTACATTTTCGAATGGCGGGAACGAATTTTAGAAAAATTGAAATCACGTACCTTATAACTTTCTTGTTTATTACAAAATCTTTATTACTATTATTACATTTTACAAAATTTTCGATTTAATTTTACAATTAACATTTGTTTTAGAAATTTAGAAAAAGTTACTATAAATTTAAAAAAAGTTAATGTTTTTACTGATATTACTAACTTTTCATGAAAATTAAACGTAATAATAAATTAAATGTAATTAATAATTATTAATCAATATTGCAATTATGAAATATTCTTTATTTCTCTCTATATGTCTTTTATTAAACAGAATATTATGACATTCATACAAGTTAATTTAAATCTATAAATTTCTCTTAAAAAATAAACAGAAAATATAAACGTGTAGATAATATTATATTTTCAAATAGCGGGAATGTGTTTCAAAAGAATTAAAATTACGTATTGGATAGTTTTCTTGTTATAACAAAAGAAAACTATCAATTACTATTATTATATTTTACTTGGTTTAATTTTTACAAAATTTTCGACTTAATTCTGCATAACAAATATATAGAAAAAGTTAATGTTTTTCCTGATATTATTAATTTTTTATGAAAATTAAACGTAATATTAATTATTCATTATTGCAATCATTATATATCAAAATATTCAAATGAATGACATATTATTTTGCTATGCATACTTTCTACTTTAGTGTTATTAAATATATGTAATATCATTGATTACACTAGCAAAAGTTTAAAAATATTTTTGTATAAAATGTATCATACGGAACAATTGTCTCTTATACATAGAATATTATAACAAAATATTTTTCATACAAGTCAGTTTAAATCTATAAATTTCTGTTAAGAAACATGTTGCCCAATATGTTCTCTAATTTTTTTTTTTTTATCGGCAATAAAACCGATTACAATGAATTACTTACGTACATTCGACAAAATTGGAACTATTCGTAGTACAGGACATATTCTGCGATTTTAATATTGCCATTCTATGTCATGAAGTATTAGTAATTTAAAACAATAACATTTGCAACTTTGTCATAATTGTACAAATTGCGAAAAGTTATATATACACATATATTTTTACACATGTTCTTAATTATAATTTAACTTTAAAAAATGTATTGGTAATACTATCAATAATAGAAATGATACTGTTAATATAGTTAGAAATATTAATTTCAAGCGATCGTAACCATTTTTATCATTTTATATCGATATTTGATTCAGCACCGTACTGGTCATTTTGATTAAAGATGGAGGAGACTGGTAATGAGAAGTTTCTGTCAAGGAGGCGTTCTGCAGCACTTAAGGCTTTTAAAGTTAAAGACGAACGAGTAGCGACTTTTAAAAAGGTACGTGTACAATTTTTAATACATCTTGTTCGATTGTAGTTAATTAATTGTAACCTTTATCTAAAACTTCGATGTATTTCCCGGCATTGCCCTGATGGATCGTAAACAACTGCTGGAATGTTGTATTTTTATGGATTTTCAGGTAGCAGCGATTTTGCAAAAATCTGAGACTGACAGAACCGCAGAGGAAACAGGGATACTTGTATCTTGTAGTGATGTAGTAAAAGAGGTTAATTTAAGGTATAGCCATTTTGAAAATCATTGATTGTACTTACATTTATGAATGTCAGTTATTGGTGGTGCAATATGAAAATATTGACATAATGTATGAATTTGTTTGTTGGTTTTGTAAATGAATGGACATTCTAGAAATGTAGTTTAGTGATAGTTACATTGATAATTAAGTTTATAAAAAAAACTTGTTAATCTACTAGGCAAGAAAAAAGGCATAGAGTGAAAGCAAGATTAGAAGAAGTAGAAGATGCACCAGAAATTTTGGAGGAGAAGTGCATGAGATTAGCAGCAGCAATCAGCAGAGCAACATCACTTGCTGTTTATACTGGTGCTGGTATTAGTACAGCTGCTTCTATCCCTGATTACAGAGGAACAAACGGTGTTTGGACTCGTTTGCAGCAAGGAAAGGATATTGGGTAATGTCAAAATTGATCAAATGTTATTGAAAGTAATAGCAAAGAAATAATTCATAAAACTTGATCTTTTACTATTTGTTACTAGGTTTTTTTTTATTAATTTGGTATGTATTTCAGAAATCATGATCTTAGCCAAGCAGAACCAACATTAACGCATATGGCTCTTTACGCTTTGTACAAGGCAAGAGTTTTAAAACATGTAGTTTCTCAGAATTGTGACGGGCTTCATTTGCGCAGTGGAATACCTCGTACACTTTTATCTGAAGTTCATGGCAACATGCATGTAGAAGTTTGTAGAATGTGTAAACCATATAGAGAATATTGGAGATTATTTGATGTTACTGAAAAAACAGCTCGATATTCTCATGGCACTGGAAGATTATGCCACAGATGTAACTCTGTTCTGCAAGACTCCATTGTTCACTTTGGTGAAAGAGGCAATCTTCCTTGGCCAATTAATTGGACTGGTGCAACAAGAGCAGCGAAACAAGCGGATGTTATATTGTGTTTAGGTTCTAGCTTAAAAGTTCTGAAGAAGTATCCATGGTTGTGGCAGATGGATAGGCCAATCCACAAACGTCCGTCATTGTACATTGTAAATTTACAGTGGACGCCGAAAGATGAAAATGCAGTTTTGAAAATAAATGGAAAATGTGACGAAGTTATGAAAAGAATTATGACTCATCTTGGATTGGAAATACCACAGTATAATCGTGCCAAGGATCCTATTTTTTTTCATGCTGTACGACTTAGAAATAATGAACAGTACACAACAAGTCAACCTTGTTTGGAAGAGCCATCTGATATTGTTCATAAGGAATTAAATCAAATCAGTGATAACTTTCACGAAGATGTTCCATCCGAAACCAAAGAGAAAGAATGTGTTTCACCTAAAAGAGTAACTGAATCAGTGTCTGCTTATTCAGCACCATTTTTTACTGCATTACCATTTTTATCCATGGGTTTGCCATTTCCACCAATGTACATGTGTCCTCAACTAACACCACTTTTTTACTATCCATTTGTGCAAGTACCAAATATGACATCAGACGTGCCAAAACCTAAACCTACTTGTACTTTTTGCATGGAAAATGAAGGTTCTCTCACTTGCCTTTATTATCAACGAGATACAGACAATTCTAATTTAATAGCAGCCGAGAGTAAGCAGATAAAAGATACAAAAACTTTAGTGATCCATGAAGATCCTCCAATAGCTGCTAAAAATCCTGGTTGGTTTGGCAAAGGATATCGCAAAGGCATGAAAAAGAAACGGTAGCATTTACTCTTTCTAATACGCGACTTCCTTTTCTTTTTTGTTATAATGCGAACGTATGTATAACATGATATACGACGATGTACGTAAATGTTTGATTTTTCCATATCATGACGAGATCTGTATACAAGATTTAGAAATGTGTAGGAACTTAATTCCAGTATCCAAAATTTTAGCAATTAAATTAAAATATTTAAAATTAAAAGAACTTAAATCTCTGTAAGCATTCTACTATTCCTGTTTAGTAGTTGTGTGATTATTTAATTTTAAAGTTTCAATTATAGAATAGATATATAAAAAGTATCTTTACGAATTTAATCTAGAAATTGTTAATTTTATTGTTAAAAGCTTGCTATGAAATTTGCTTGATTTGATATTTTTACTATTGTACAGACTAATTGTATTGTGATTTTTAGTTGTAAGAGTTTTAAAATGTTGTGCAAATCATGAAAAGTTCATAGTGACCAAAGTGATAAATCTTTTATTATAATTTTTTACTTTGTATTTGTACAGTTGAATGTATAATTTTTTAAAAAAAGAATGTGTGCATAAGTAGGATGTATGTAAAACTTTTTGTATCATTTTTATATTGATTTACCATTCCAGTCTTATGAACTAAACATTATAACAAAATTAATCCTATGGATATTAAAGGACTGTTTGTAATAAATATCGAACTATTAGCTCTTTTTTTAGTAAACAATGTAATAATCAGTATAAAATTTTATATAAAAATATAAATTTCCATCTTTCAGTTATTTATTTTTTTTATATAGCCATCTTAAAACGAAACAAATGTGAACAGGATATATGTGAAATTATTTACTATCTTTTAAATCAAAAATAACGCCATATACAAACATATGCGTGCCTATACACACAGTGCATTCTTTATATTATTAAAAAGTTTACTGTTTTATACATATAACTGTATGGTGATTTTTAATATATATACATAAAATACGAAATAAGAATTTAATATAAACATTTTTTTTAAAATAATGTAGGAAAGACTACGAACTGTACTTCTGGCAAAACAGACTGTTATTTATTTATAAGTTTTAATTAACCAATTATATTTTGATAGACAAACCAACATATAATAATAATCTAGTTCTAAAATTCATTTATATCCATTTGATTATATTTGTCATATCATATTTACTAAGCTCGATTTTAACAATAAAATAAAGTATGTTTTTTCATAATGACATGATGTTTATATAGGTCACGGGACAGTATAATTACTGCTACGATTAATTAGCGCGTGAATTATTAATATTTCCAAATTAATAATAGTAAGAAAAAAAAAAATTAGAAATTTCAAATTAACTCTGTCCAATGTTCTACATTATTTGTGTAGAGCTCCACTTGTAAGTAAATTTGTTCGTTTACGCTTCTATCACCATTAAATACTTCATTCTTTCGAGCAAAATAAATTCATCATTTTTTAAGTTTATTATTATTTTTAATAATGTGAATTTCGAAAATGTAAATTAGAAGTAAATAGACACGTAGAGATCATACATCGAATTAAGAAGTAACTTTTTATATGAAAGATGTTAGAATGAGTAAAAGATACCAAGAGACAGACTTTCAATAGAAATGAACGAAGCTTGGATGGCGGTGAGTGAACGTTATCGAAGATGGTAAGATACGTATATGTAAGTAGAATAAGAGTTACGATCGAGATAGAGAAAAGGAAAAGAGATAGAAATGAGAACGAAAGGAATATGAAAAGGGAGAGAAATATAAGGGCTAATGCTGGCAGAAGGGAAGAGATTGAAAAAGCCTACAGTCTGTTGTCATGGTAACCCCGTATAGCGTCACCCTATTACCAGCTTCGACAGTACTTATTGTAAAGCCAACCGTAGTACTTTGCCGATACTACGATAGTGTACGTCGACCGCTCATTGACTTCTTGACTTTGTACAACGGGATCTCATTGCGAAGCATGTGGTTCTACTCCTTTTACACTGTTCTTCTGGAAATAACATCGAAATACTTTCTTAGCTATTAAAGAATCACAAATAAAAAACAAGAAATGTTCACAAATTTTTTACTATTTAATTCCAGAATTTAAGATCTTAAGCTAAATTTTTTATCTTTCCACTTTCTTCTTATCGTAGTTACAACAAAGTTAAACATAATATTCAAACTGACGTAATTATTTTTACAGATAAATTTTCAAATTATCTAAATGTATTTGAGTTTGTAGAAGATTAGGATGAATGTAAAATTCCAATTTACGTTTACATTGAATTACGTGAAGAAAAGAATGTGCGATGTGCTATTGACATTAAGTAGAATACGTTTGATTCAAATAGATGCGAGACCAAAATTATTAGTACAATTACTTTCAATTGAGTCAGTGGTAACATGGTTATATCATCGCATTATATTTGTGTGCATGCGCTATATGCTTATAAACTCAAGTCGATGGTATAATTAACTAATAATTAGTTCTATTGTAGTGTTGTTCTTACGTATATCCTTTATATAGTACAAGTACATAATTACTACTTTTCAAACATTTATTTATTCAAAAATTCAATTTAAATTATTTATAACATATATTTCTAATTCTTTCTTTTTTTCATGAGAAAGCAATATAGTGACGCAATATTTACTCATTATTATTATTATTATTACCGTAATTGTATGAGTCTAGAACTAAATAAAACAATTTGTACTCTCAGATTAATGTATTTAAATTTTCATCTGTGTAAATAATTTCTAACATATATAATACACGTTTAAATATAGCTATTTTTAACCTAATGTTTATATCTTTTCAGATGTCTCCTTTCTTTGAAATACTTCATTAGTAAAAAACATACACAAATATTAAATACTAAAATTTATTCATAATTTATTCATCAATTATATAGAGGCATACATTAGATGTCCTATAACTAATGGTACAATTGAATAAAAGATAATTCTACGTGAAACAATGAGTCGAAAAGAAAGAATAAAATGTTTTCGAGAAAATCGAGCTTGCAAATTTATCGAGTACACGAGGCTACTTTTTATGAAACAGATTCAAAATCTATTTTCTTGAAAATGAAGTCTGAATGAAGCGAAAATATTTTATTTTATTTATATTCTATACTTTTCATTTATTTTTGCGCATAGAATACCCTCCTGTCAATTGTCAAACTCGATTTTTTCGATAAAATAATTTTTTCTTCTCGACTCGACACGTAGAATCACTCCCCACTTGTACCATCAGTTACAGGACACCCTGTATATGTTCTTTGTAGGATCAAGAACGGTACCTAAAATTATTCAAAAGATTTTGAGAATTTCTCGCAAGCAAAGACAAAAGACAATATTAGGTATTTTACTAGATCAATGAAAATGCAATTTGATTATTTATAAAAAAAAAAAGGAAGAAATTAGTAATTGAAACCTCTGCATTCCACGTATGTATCTGTGCAAAACGAATATATTTTGTATTAGTTCGTACCGTGTTCTATATAACAGTTTACGTTCGCAGTTTAACGCAGCGATGCGAGACCATCGCTGCGAAATATACAGGAAAAAAATACAGAAAATGTAGGAAGGTGGGGAATACGGGACGGAATATAATAGATTTGAAAAGTCAACAGCGCGGCTCGAAGACCTAAATCCATACAAGGAGGAGATTTATCATTACCGGTTGGTCGAGCGCTCTGGCGGTGGCATTGGATACTACGGGACGACAGTGCTACGTGAGAAATCGTGATGGAGTAGTTTATACCCTGTTTGGTCGCCGTTTCTCACCCGCGTTCGAGTACGTTTCGAATTGCCACACGTTTCTGCCAGTGTATTCGTCGCCCTCGCGTGAAACAGAGTCATCCGGGTCGCGGCCAACAGTATGTCACTCACCCTCGAGGCGGCTGGCTGTTTATCCGCGTTAACGTAACAAGGAGGAAAAGGCACGGGTGTCGGTGTGGAGGCAGGTTATCTTCTTTGTTCGAGAAAAGCCTCATCAGCGGGCAATGGCGCGGGAACCGTGCGCTCCAGAGTCGGTGTGTTCATGGCGTAGGTGATGATCGGTGTTTGTACATGTGGCATGGTGTTTATAGCGAACAGGGAGATTTACATACCTCGCTGGATTGACCAGCTCGTCGGTTTTTGGATACGAGCCGTGTCGTGAGCCGCCATGAGGCGCATTAGCGGTAAGCCAATATAACACGTTCTTTAGCCATCTTAAACGATACTGTTCCCGATACTGGTCCGATCGTCCATGCCTAATCCTACAGAAACAGGATTTGTGCATGTTTGTTAACCGGCTGGCATCGCAGTGTATTCCTCTTTAGCGGAGGGAATCACGTACATGTTAAAACGTGATTTTCAACTTCTTTGCGAGGTTGCGCACGCGCTCGTTTTGCTAGTTGCGTTTGCCAATTACGTATTTCACATTTTTGTTTGAATCGTAGTGAATTTCGGAAAACCTGCGACACAAATCGAACGCAATCGTCGTACGAGTCTCTGTATTTGAATGCCGAGATAGGCTCCGAAGTAATATCTACGATCAGTCGTACGTACATGCAACCGAACAGTCGAACTCTGTACTCTGCCGCTTCATTTCGCGTTAAATCGTTAAGTTTTATGTAACTGTTTACACAGTTTGGTATTCGGTGTCTCGCTCTTATTTTCGAGTCGCCGATCGTTTCACCGTTGGTTTGTTTGTCGTGCCGAAAATGGCGAAACAAAATTCTGTTCACCGGTTGATACGCTTCCCAATATGCAAAATTCAAGATCGTTTGTCGCGATTTCGCGAGTCGACGAGTCGAATTTGAAAAATGTTACGATAGAACGAGAAGAGGACGTTAAGTCCTCAGGTGTTCTGCGGAATTGACGTAGCGAACAGCGAAGCTAGAAAGTGGAATTGCCCGTAGCTGGCATACGTGTTCGAACCTTTTCCTTTCTGCTGAAAGGAAGCTGCTTGACCATTTTTCTCATTTGGTAACATTTGAGCGAGATGCAAGGTTCACTCTCTAATGTAAATTAAAAAGCAACAAAAGAAAGCGTGAAAATGTCTTTCACGGTTGTAATTTTTCTTTTAACAATTCGTACTAATCCGAAAATCGTTTTGCAAACGCATCAAACGTACGCGTTACAATAAACGCGGGAATTTTGAATCTTCAGAATTTTCTTGAGTCTATTTATTTTTTTACTTGCAGTATTTTTCAGTGTAGTTTAGTACTTTGGGATTCGAACGATGTTTTTTTATTTCTTTCTAATCTAAAGTTTTAAGTATCGGCAATACTTTTATCAGTAATACCGAATATCAAGAATCGTCCGTTAATTTATTACCAACGCGAAATCCCAACGAGTTGATTCATAATTAATTTCTTATTATTTCACGTTTGTCTTATGTAACGTGCGCGCTTTGTTCGCTTAATTTATGTCTCTCTATACACGTGTCTGAATAATCATTTACGATTAAACGAGCTCCTTTAATTGCATCAATTCGTTTTTGCATACGTAGAACGAAACATCAGCCTTGTTCTGTAACTCCAGTATCTCTAAAATGTTACAGAACATACATGTAGTATCTTGCAAAATATTACATTTCATAAAGAGAATTATATTTCGACGAATTAACAAGTCTCGAGTGCTCAACAAATCGAAGCACTTCCAAACGTAAAAAGCAAAACAAAAAAAAAAAAAACGCAAAATAAAATATTGGCCGTTCTTTTCCCTCTGTACTTTCTCTTCTAACGAAAACAAATTTACACGGCGAAACGAAAGCGTTGAGCGTACAATTATCGAGGAGCTATCCTGAACGTGTGATTTCTTCGATCCCGAGGAAATGAATGTCGTTATCGATTCGTTATAGTTCGGTATTAGCCGTTTGACGAATGAATCGTCAGGGATTGGAGGGGAGGATGAAAGATGATCAGGAAGGTGGGACTACAGCAAGGAGGAGTAGAACAGAGTAGGAGGGATGAAAGTGTATAGGAAGAGGCGGAGGTGAAAGAAGAGTAGAAAGAAAAGAAAGAAAAGAGAAAAGGAAGGTGGAAAGGTGCTTATATTTACGTGGGACTGCGTTTATCATACTTTTTCCATCCACTCTGTCGAACTTCGCTTTCTGATTCTCAAAAATCAACCGTTACAAGCATAAGTAAAAATTAAGTTCTTGATCGGGCGACTCGTTGACTAGAAATTTTTATGATCGTGAAATTGGTGAATTATAATTTCATTTTCATTGCTAAATTTAATTTCATTTTAATTTCTTAGTTTCTGACCAATGTAAATATGATGCGATTTATTTTTAGTAAAAATGAAAGACAATTGAAAAGCTGTAAATAGATTGTACATTGATTGTATATAACTTGCATAGCTTGTACATAAGCAGTCCCTGTAAAAGTGCAATGGTATAATTTTTTGATCAATGAACGAAGAAAATACCTCATTGGTTCTTGGATAAAATTATTTTATTGTTTGGTAGAATCGTGATTTTTGTTTGAAAAGAAAAGAATTATACAGGGTGTCCCATAACTGATGATACAACCGAGTAGGAGATGAAATACTTGAGTCGAAAAGAAAGAATACAATTTTTTCATCGAGAAAATCGAATTTGAAAATTTATCAAGAATGTACTTGAATTTAATTAATTCTTGGACTGGCGCGAATGATCGATACGAGGATATTCTATGCGCAAAAATAAGTGAAAAGTCTAGAATAAAGTTCTTTTTTAAGACTTCTATTTTTAAGAAAATAGACTTTGAACATGTTTCGTTGAAATTGATAAATATTCAAGTTCGATTTTCTCGAAAACAAAGGTTTTAACAAGAAAATGTTATTCTTTCTTTTCGACTCGTTTTTTCGCGTATAATCACCTTCTACTTGTTGTATTTCATTAGTTACACCTTAGAGACACCCTGTACATTTCAAGATATTCTATGTAATACGAGGCTTATTTTCACTAACTGTAAAGTGTATATTTCTTTAACGTAACATTCCAAGCGAAGAGATTAATATTTAACGGATAATGAATGATGAATAAGACAACGCATGATGAATATAGAATTATGAAAATAAGGTAACCAAGATATTGAACTGGTTCGCGCTTTGAAGATACATCCTTTAAGTCTCTTTATGTTTTAACTGAAAGTGGGTTACAGTGCCATCCCGGGTTCAAGAAGAGCACTTTTTTCCTCGCAGGGAGAGCATCGTTTGCTGCTTAAAGGCACAAGAGTTCAAACTCTCGGTATATATTTTTCTCTCGGTCATTTTCCCTAGCAATTATCTACGAAAATTTCATTCGAGTTGACGTGATATTATCTGATTGGTGATCATCGTAAAACTGTATTACGGACGGTTACGATGTCTCGTGAAATCCGATTTGAATCGAATGACTTATGTATATTGTACGCTACGTTTCGTATTCATGTGTTTAAGAAAGAAAAAAAAAATAAAGAAAAAAAAAACCAGTCCTTTATTTTCGTTACAACGTGCACTTCTCGGCCTTCTTGAAGCTTGTGAATTATTCATGAAAGTACGTAATTTTTTTTTTTTTTTGTCTCTCTTGAAATATTTCACTTCACATTCTCTCGTTGAAATATTTCTAACCGGTCGGTATATTATAAATACTTTGCTGGTAATAAATATGATCAAAAGTACGTGCACGAACCGGATATGTTCGGCCAAGCTTTTTTAAGATGTTATAATTCCTGAGATGAAAGTACTTGTACTCGTGTGTATATATGTATACATATTGATCGCATTGTGTGTATAATTAGCGTGTGAAGATTGATTCACGGACGAAAGTCACGGTATGTAATGTAGCGTACGTTTAAATCGTAGTAACATAGAAACACCTCCTTTGAAAGTCGAATTCGCACATTGGCAGAAAGTGGTACGCTCATTTATTCAGACACAGTTGGTACGTACGTATATAATATATATATGTATACGACCGGAGGAGATCCACGTTCGCGCAGCAAACATCAGCAGCGAATCTTTTCGGCTCGCTTTTAATTTCGGTTTTTGCTAACGTTTGTCAAAAAATTACGTGAAACACGAGCTGAGGATCGAACATTTTTTCTGACGATAAGTTAGGCGGTAAACTTTTCTAAATAAGAAATATCTACTGTATGATCTCTGCCTTTTGTTGTGGCAACTTTAAGATGTCCTCTGCACTTTGAAAAATTTCTGTGACATGAGATCGACTTGTAAGCAGCGCTTACAATTTCACAGTGAAACATTTGAAATTAAAGAACTCGCTGTGAATGAAGGATTTCGTAATGGAATCTTTTGTTTCAAAAAGAGAGAAGTTACGAGCAACACTTGTAATTATATGATATAATATTGTATAGTGTGTGTGAGATAAACTATCGTATTAATACAATAGTAAATTGCAGTATATAATTAATACAATTGTATTAACATTATTAATTATTAATATGTACAATGTATTAAAATTGTGTTAATTATATTAATACTTAATTGTTAATATAATTAAACACAATAGTTAATACAATAGTTGTGTAATTGTAAATTAACGCAATAATTTTCCTTTCTTTCTTTCTTTTTTTTTTTTAATTTTTTTCTGGAGAAAGCAATGCAAGATACCTTTGTATTTTATTTATCATTTTCTCAGAACAACGTCAGTCGAATACAAAGGATTAATCATGCACGTTTATAATCCAAAGTAAAAATATGCGACCAAGAAAACGATGCACACTTCTCAGAGCATAGTACATACATGTACGTCTACGTGTTCCATAACACGAAAAAAAAAGAAAGAAATTAAAGTTGCACGTAAATATCTTTACTCAACACAAAGTCACAATCCAACTCGATCGAACCGAGTCTTCGAGATACAATTTTCTAATTTCTCTCACCATGTAATGTGCCAAGTCGTTTTCGTAGTGCTAATTAATAAATAGGTGAAAGAACAATGTTTTCCACTATTTCAGGATAATAAGCAGTCAGCTGATCTGATCTGTTCGTCCCTGCTTTGTGAATGTTGTAATCAAGAACTGACGTCCGGTATTGTGTCTCTTTGTAACTGGCTCTTCTTGTGACCGCATAACAACGTAAGTTGTAGAAGCTGTGTGGCATGCTAACAGCATCAAACACATCTCTCGCGTCTCTCCATTTTAGGCAGCGCAGGTGCTTTCTTCTTGCAGACAGATTTTTTTATCTTTTTTCTTTTTCTTTTTTTCATATACTCCTCTTTAACGCAGTCGCTTATGGGAAGTATTCGCACAGACAGCGAGACAAAATAATGATCGTAACATTTTTTATCCAAGATTACAGTTTCAATATTTAGAATTTCGATTCCGTAATTTTTTTTTTTTTTTTAATCACACTTTCAGTTCGAACGCGTAACATCATTTATAATATTTTATAATACTTCTGTTATTTTATTTCTACATTCATCTTTTTCCTTTTTGTGATGCGCAAACATTTCTGATTCGAGGGATTTTTCACCGTATGTGCTAAAAAAACGGTATTTTAAAGAATTTCAACTCTGCCTCGAATTTTATATTTCAAGTTTCAATTCACCTTTGGATCCGTAGGATTTTTCTCGCTTAACGATGAAAAAGAACTTGCTCAGTCCAAGGATTCTGATGAGATCTACAGTATAAATAATACATTAACAAATTGACAAATTTAATACAGTGATAAATAATAGTTTTTAAGTGATGAAAAGACGTACAAAAACACGTATTCCTAGGCTCTAGAATTGAATAAGGATATAAGTTTGATAACGAACTATCATTATAGTACTTTTATAAATAATTGTACAATTTTATTATTACTTTAACTGTATATTATAACAATCCATCAGACTTTCAGAGTTTTTTTACAATTACTTGCAAAATACGGATATTCTTATCAAAATTAATAGTAATTTCTGTTTGGACAGAAACACAATTCTATAAATCTGTTTATTTTCTTCTACTGTTAATATTTTTATTTGTATTAATATTTTTGTTAACTAACCAAAATCAAATATATATGCGCGATGCTCGCCATAGAAGTGTTAAAATAATGAGAAATCTCTATGTATTTTCCCCAGGAAATTTTCTAGCGATAGGGGTTATCCTAAAGGAAACAGCAAAGTTAAATTAACATTATATAATTATACAACGGTTACTCATTTTACTCAATATTGGTTGAAGTACATTAAGATATCGCTTTTGGAGCATAAGCGAAAAATCTACTTGATCAGAAACTTTTGCACATTACTCTATATTGTGTAAACTATATATTATATACGCGACAATTTGTTTAGTTTCCGTTGTTCTTAAGATCGTGGTTTGATAGCACTGCTTTGAAGCGACCACGCCTCATAATCGATGCAAGCCAGAGAATGCGAAGGAATATATAGAGGAATGCGGAATTTTTAGACCGTAATCACCGAGTTTAAGTTACCTCCACGAGGCACTTGTGTATTATTACTATAAATTGGTAGATCATTATCATCGTACCTTCACACTTTCCTATATTAAAAAGAAGTGTTAGTTGATTTTCAGTTAGTTTTCTTTTTTTTTTTTTTTTTTTTTTTTTTTTTTTTTTGAATGGTCTCGCTGTTTTACTCGATGTCAAAGTATTTACTTACAATTAGTCGATCATAGTGACGCAACGATATTATTTTTTTGATGTTCTCGCACCAATGAGTTTTTGAAGCATAAATCATAACGAGCACAGAGTTCATTTGCACCCCCTACATTTTAGCATTTGATGTCTTTAGGTTTGCTCGTTTCACGCATCTTTTTAGAGTATATAATTGTCGAATTTGTTTACTTAGAATTGTTTATTGTTTACCTTCAAACAATGTCGATCTCGTTGTAATTTGTGTTTTAAGCGATAAACGCAGTTTAGTGTTGTTTATCGTGTAAAATATGAAATAATCTAACCTAACCTAACCTACTCTAAGCTTGGATCACCTATGATTAACAATGGTTAAATATCTCATTGAAATGTTACAAGGCAAATAATTTACTATGAAACGAAATAAAAAACAAAATGTGAATTACGTTCAATTTGACATCGAATGTGAAAAGAACAGGCAGGCAATATAAATTTAAATCCTTGCTTCGTCTTTTTAAAACCAGTGAAAGTAAAAACAGTTGCTTCCGGTTGTATTAACACGCAACACCAAAATTGAATGAAGCGGTGATGAAATCTGTCCAATAACTCTTAAAATTCGAACGGCCAGACTTTTCGAAATGTTTTCTCAATGGACAGAGTTATGAAGAGTTCTTGTTATGTAATCAATATAATTTGAACAGTATAATACATTTCGACAGAGAGTTATTTTATATGCAAAAACAAGAAATTCAGGAAGCATGAAAATAGACCTAATATCTAATTCATTTTAGACTGAATAAGAATGATACAATTGCACAGGTTTATATTTGAGCAAAAATAAGTGGAAAATAACAATTAAAATTTTTTGATTTAAAGCTTTTCTTTCAAAGAAAATCGAATTTGGAATACGTTAGTGGTCGATATTTTCTTGGCAGCCATGTTGGATACGTTCTCTACCGGAAGTCGCCAAAGTGCACGAATATTCGACGAATTTTCAAATTCAATTTTCTTGAAAACGAGGCTTCAAGGAGAAAACATTCACGCGTTCTTTTTCGATTTATTTTTGCGTACGTGGAATAACCTTCTATCTAGATGTAGATACGTACTGTTGGCTTTTAGAACCTATTGGTTTCTCTGTACATGACCATGATAAATACAGACATGCTAAATAAAGGATGTCCACTGAATGAAAAGTGTATCACATTCCATTGTGTATCGAATTGTACAAAGCACTATCCGTGTCACTGAACAATATACATACGTATGTATGTATGTCCAATAATGCTTGCACGATCTTCTTTTTACGTATAGGCTATAGGAAATAGAACTATGTACATATTTCGAACGGTTTCTTTCCGCAAAAATGAGAATATTTTCAGCGATTATATTATGTTAAATATATTCAAAAGCACGAAAGTGGAAGTAATGCGTGGTTTCAACATGCAAGGAGTTATTAAGGTGCAAGAATAAATTACATGAAATGTATTCGAAATTATCAATAATACAGGGTGTCCTAGGTATTTTCTCTGAAAAAATCGTTGGTTTTCTTTAATTTCTATCGACTTATCAGATGAACCTTTTTACATTGATTCTTGATCGTTAAATTTTACCCCTCAAAGAGTTTTCTACGAATAAAAATTCAGCAACGTAATGTTCGGCGATTTTGAGAACCGAGGAAATCGATTTCTCGACTTGTTCATTATTGAGGTATGTTCGTTCGACCATTGCCTGAACGACGAGGGTTCAACCAGTTATTTTGTATTTTTGTTATAATTCCCTGATACAAGCCCGCGTTCGTATGGCATTTTTCTCTTATTCTTATTTATACATAGAATACATCGAATGAAAACTTTCTGTGTAATGTTTGCATCTACAGGAATTATCTGTCGTTTGAAAAGTAGGCATATGTGTAAAGCTTCACACTCAGCTGCTTGGGATTTAAATAACATGCGTCGGAAGTCAAAACACTAAATTTGTCTCATTCACGTTTCAGGAAGGAGTGGTTACGTGATAAAATAGCACGATATTTTTTAATTCTTTTTAGTTGAACGATTACAGAATCATCCTGATTCTGCGTATATATCGTAACCTGTAATCTACTGTAATCAACTATTGAAAAAGCAGCGCGACCAACAATGATACACATAAAATTGATATTCATATTTCTACTTCGTATTTAACAGATTGTAAAATTTATAAAATTTTTTAATCTTAAAAACAATGCCGTTTTACATTGTAATAAATAATAGAGACAATTGAAACGTGTAATGTTTTTGAAACGTTGTTACTTATTAATATATGATACGACAGTGAACGACCGCAGTTATTTGCAGCATGATTGCTTTCGCGGATTTTTTCAGTCTCTAAAGGTTCTATGGGTTCGAAACACCAGGTAACACGAGATGATGCCACGTTATCCGAAACGTGGTACAATGTTGCCGTGATATGTCTTGTTTACACGAAAGCTGGTTGAGAATCGTGGCAACGCTGCAAGCCCTCTAGACCTTGCTCTCATCCACAGCCTTATTCAGGAACAACACCTGCATAGAGTATTTTGCTAAAACCACTTTTTTTCTTTTCTACATTATCTATTTATTCATCTATGTATTATATATGTATATATATATGTATGTGTGTATGTTTATTATTATGTTACTCATAGTAAAGTGAATTGTAACGCAATGAGTAGCTTTCAAAATATTTATATTGCTATTAAAACATATTTGGTATTTTTAAGATCATATGTTGGTAAAATTTAGTTATTTCCAGACATGTTAGCAGAATTGTGAGATTACAATTCTTTTTCTCGTGGAATAAGAAATTCCTTCGTATTATTGAAATGAGTTCAATGACCAGTTACTCAAGGTTAGTCAAGGTCGCTGCTGCAGACAAAGCAGCCGTAGCGTCTTAATCAGTTATTCCTAAACCTATTTACTTTCGCCTAGGGAACTATTTTAACTGTTGACTAACCTGTAAACGTTGTATAATTTGATGATAAGATATAAATAATTTCGTTTTCAAAATTTGTTTACATACTTTATCGAGTATATACCCTAATAGATGTAAATTTTTTATTATAAATATGTAAAGCAATTTTTTTTTTAATGAAAACTTTTATTGAAGTAAAATGCTTATTTTTATTATTAAAGTCAAGTCATTCGTTAATTATTACATCTCTGAAAACTTACGTCAAATCATACATATATATTTTATTTACTTGAACTTAAATTACTTGATATACGTACGAAAATTTTATATCTTCATAAAATCGGTATAAGATAAAAAAAAACTGAGGAAGCAATGACATAATTGGTCTGATTATCTCATTGCATATGTTTTGTAAGTTATAATATGAAATGTTGCGGAATTAGTACTTGCCAATATGAGCTCGCGAGATGCACATCTGTTCGGGTCATTGATTGCTCGTGTTGAATTTATAACACGTCAATTGCTATTAAGGATGAAAGAATCAGACATCACTGATGAGAAGAGCGGA